GAACTCCTGAGCTCAAACAATCCGCCCGCCTCGGCCTCCCAGAGAGCTAGGATTACAGGGGTGAGCCACCGCACCCGGCCAAGGGCTGAGTTTTGAGACAGAGATAGACAAGTTTGATAAAATATGGAGCAATGTGCTTGAGAAAATGAGAGAAGTACAATTTAATGCCTTGAGCAACAGTAGGTAAAAATGATGTAGACATGACAAAGTTGTGAAGAAGGGGACAAAAAGCTGAGGTATTTTAAATTTATCGCCTTACTAAAGGCTTAGCAAATCTATAAACAATACAGTTGAAAGGAAGAACTAAGAAGTGCTAATATTTTGTCATAGGCTGAAATTTGCAATGTTCTTGATAATATAATATGGTAAGCATAAACTAATAAAAATTAACTGAATACTGTTCTGTATTTAGAATTAAAAACAAAATAAAGACACAAGCACATAATGGGGAAAAAATTAACCTAGCAGTTCTATAAAAGAGGCCCAGAAGTTTGATTTGATGAAACTCAAAATGTGTCAAAGGAATGACTTAAGTTCTGAGGTGAGGATAGGGAGAGAATGAACACATATATATAAAACTTCAGGATTTATTAAAACAAATGTCATTAAAAATTCAAGGGATAATAGCACTTCTTTGCCTTTAGTGGTCAGGCCACACACGGAGTGTATGTCTGCTCTGGACGTAACGGATAGGAAGGATGTCAATGAGCCAGAGAGCACCCAGAGAGGAGTAACAAGAAGTCTAGAAATGCTAACAGAAAATTACTATAGACAAAGTGGGGATTTACAGCCTGGAAAAAACTAATGAGAACCTGAGAGCTGAGAGCTGTCTTCACATACAAGACAGCACCTTCTCTTTGAGCGGCACTTTATAGTTTTCCAAGCATTGTCATGTATGTACTTTCTTCTGAATCTCATGATAACCTTTTAAGATGAACAGGGCAGGTTATCATTACAGGTGAGAAAACTGCACAAAGTCAAACATCTAATAAGCCAGGTAGCTTCCTGTGGGGCTTATCTGTTGTTTGGTTGCCTGCAACCCATTCTCCCCGTGTTCTGGTAACAGCGCACCCCTGCTTACGAAAAATCGCTCTATGAGGCTGTGGTGGAGCCCTCACACCTATCCCGCTCCATTAGACGGGCCGGGACTATCAGACTATTTGGGTTACTCCTCTTGATCCAAAGGGTGGGCAGGTGATCACAGCTCTTTCTTGAAATTTTTCAAATTCAGGAAAAAGATTATTTTATTCTTTCCTTTCGAGAAAGCTACAAGCAAGTGAACGTGGAGCTTCTGGTAACCATAATGCCCATCATCAACACCCCGTGGAGAAGAATCTGAGGTTACAAGGCCACTAAGCAATAACTAAGGAAAATAACAGTATCTCACAAAGACCACATCAATCCAGTTGACCTCAAAATGGATATGTATGTCTCTTTCCGGAGTTTGTTACATGGATTGGTATATACTCCCTTTCCTACTTAAGCTATGTTAAGTTTCTGTCACATGCATCTAAAAGAATCATACGCTATACACACTCTTAGTCTCTTTTTACTACAGCTCTTTCCATTACTTACATGAAAGCTACGTCAAAACTAAGACCAACATGGAAATGAGAAAATGGATTTTAACTCATTATAAACATTTTTCAACCATGAGAGCCTGACCAAAAATGGAATTAGCTGATTTATGAGAAAGTGTGTTCCTTTTTACTAGAAAATATTGCTAGGAATGTTTTGGCAATGAGTTCTCACACAGAGTGAAAAACTCAATTGGATATTTCTCAAGTTCCTTCCAATTATAAAATTATATGCTTCTAAAGGTAGCTACCTTCTTCTCTTTTTAAAAATGGTAGGAAAAAAAAAAAAAGTTCAAAGGAAGATTTTGTTACTTGTTAAGTCCCACAAGAGCCCCTGAATATTTAGTCA